GTATCATTGGAAAGGTATTTTCTCACCCTTTTTATTTCTTTGCTAATAAACTCATTCAAAGGATGGAAGAGAAATGTAGGATGAACGAACGTCATTCAAAGTTCAATTAAGATGTGTTGGTATTCGAAGAAACAAGATGGGACACGAATGACGTTGTTTTGACCAAAAATAAAAACAGTGTGAAAATACCTTTCTGCTGAGATCCCATAAGTCTAAATAAGAACGTTTTTGGCCCAGTTATTCAAGTTTTTCGTAAACCAATCTTTGAAAAAAGTAAAAAAAACAGCATCAAAAATCTCATTCTTACGATTCTGCTGAAAAGATTTTTAAATATTTTTATGCAGATTTTTTAAGCTTAATCTAATTCGTCATCTGAGGGGACTTTTTTCAAAAAGTTCTTTAAGAAACTATTTTTATTCATAAAAAACTTAATTTTTGGAGGTATTTTCAAATCGGTCCAGCTCGCTTAAATCTTAATATTTTTCCGAAATATTTTGGTAGACGTCTTAAAACATAATAGATTTTGTAATCCCGGCGGAAAAACCGCAACGTTTTTTGGTGATGCAGTTTAATGTATATAATAGCTACTATTCTTATCTTTTTATTTACTGGATATCTTATTTTAAGTAAAAAAAAAAACAGAAGAAAGAAATGTATTTAATGCTGTCAAACACCGTTTTCTTGATTAAAAGAATTGGGAGGAAAGAAGCCATTTTCGTAGGAAATGAAGTTTTTCATCGTTTTTCTAATTTATGAGAGGCCGACATCGGCAATGCTCGGGCTTCTCATATGCGAGTGAAAGAAAATTTCTTTGCTTTTTTCGATCGCGAATGAAAAGCTGCGGAAATTTTTTTGTCGATCGCATTCCGAATTTGAGCGATGATAAATTTGTTTGCATTTTTCACTCGCGATAAAAGAATGCAAAAATAGATTTGTAATATTATCGATCATGATAAATCTCACAAATGAATGAAAACGAATAATCATAAATGAGAATTTCCGAACCCTGGAAAGTAACGAATATTATAATAATTATTTGCATTTCTCAGCTTGAGTATCCACAAATATTACAGCAAAATATTTCGCCAGTATTCGATTTTTTTGTATAGTTTTTTTTAATCTAATATTTATGGACCTTTGTTTTAATAATTATAATTCTTACAACCAAAGTCTCATGTGATTTTCTTGAAAGTTTGTGACGCATTAAAAAAAA